CTCGTGTTCGCGTACGAGCCGTTGCTAAAGCTGTACGTCGCCGGCTTGATGGGCGAGGTCGACTTGGTCGGCGACGTGAGCATCATCATGCACGGCTCCTCGAACGAGTTGCTGCTGAACGACGGCGCCCGGTGTTCCATCATCTTCATCGTCGTCCTCTGCTCGAAACTCAATTTTGGGAAATGACCACTTGCAGCTGCAACCCCATTACAATTGCGGATTCTCTACAAAAAAACGGCCGGTGGGTGTGCTTTTCCCAGCACGGGATTAAAAAATGGCTTGTTACGTCTATGGAGAGTGTATTTAATTCATCTATTTTTATTCAAGGACGACGAGGATGTCGTAAAGGGTAGCCTGCCGTCCGATATTGAATGTTGGAGGATTTAAACGGTGCCAGCATGACGAGCTTGTACACTGTAGTTGTCGTCGGCGACCTCGAAGACTTGCGCGGAAAGGAGTGAACACCATGGTGCGGCGACCGTGGTCCTTAAGAATGCGAGCCGATGCCTTGGACGACAAATGTGATGTGTTGATGGGATGATGGAGGTGGGGTGTCCCTGTAGAGCAGTAACGATCTCCGACCGCGAACTGCAACCTGGCTGGCATTAGTTCGTCGAACGTGGGCCGTTGAGCCTCCTGTGCGGCGGTTGGTCATTGTCAACGCAGCCTGTCCGCAAGGCACGTTGTTGATGGTGATACACCAGCACAGAACAGAGCACATGAGGGATCAAAGTTGGCAGGATTCGTACACCGCGGCAGGATAGGTAAATTCCAGCAATCTAAGCCCGACGTACGTTTGACCGATACACACTTTTGATGATACTGATAGGCTAAACATCCCTGCCTCATAGAGTCTCGACGCGAGAAAGCCCATCGGATCAAATATGAGAGTGAATTGAGTTTGAGAATATTTCTCTTTCACACGTGGGTTTCGCACAAAACCCACACGTGGCATTGAAGACTTGATTTGCTTCTGGATCCTGGATTCCACGCGATCCAATATTTGAAAGGCGTCGGATACTCGACTCTCCTCAAGGGTCGCGCAGGCTACTTCTATGCAGAATGACTCTGCTTGATGTAGAGCCTCGTCAGCAGTACGGCTGTGTCCACCAACCAGTCCATGCAACGATGGTTCACGCATCTCTAGTCTGCTGTGTAACTCACTGGTGTGTCCGTGAGTCTTGAGACTGGTAGACTTGAGCGTATCGTGTCCACAAAACATCCCGGACTCGCAACGATTGAAGTGTACCTTCCCGCGCATCCAAATTTTGATCTGGCGCTCCACGAAGTTTTTTGCGCGGTTGTACTCGCTGAATCTGCCTCAACCCTGTTGCACGCTGGCTGACGCAGAGTCTCCAAGCCTCTCTTGTCCACTATAGACAGCGAGGTTACACGGATCTTGGTGCCACCGTATTCTCTGATGTTTGATCTACCAAGTCTCCCGAGCTTTTCTTCTCGCGTTGATCGCTTGGGACGTCCGGATCAGTATCGTGGCGTGGCAGTGCATTTTTCCACAAACTGGACGAACCAACCCAACTGTAGCGCTTAGACTACCAATAATATGTCGCCGCCCACCGGCGACTACAGCTGAGCAAAACAAGCCTGCGCTGTCGCCTGTGCATCCGCGATCCGGCAAACGAATGAAGCAATAAGAGGCTGCTAGTGTCTTCGAATGCTTTGACTCGCTGCGTTTTCGAGCGGGGATGAGAACAAAAATGCTGCACACTGAGTGAGAGAGCGCTCGGAGCTCTCATCTATGCGCACTGTCAACTGCTCGATTGGGCAGCTGCCCAGGATGAATTGACCGGGTTGCTGCATTATCGACATACATACCCATGCCTTTGACAATTGACCCTCATTCACTTCGACGTTGGGTGTCAATGGTGTAGTATACTGAATCCAGTACTTCAAATCCATGTTGTTGGCGTGGACGTGGGAATGGCCCGTAGCAACTTCAACTTCATGACGGTCTACAATCCTCCAGTCCAATAAGGTTACTCGACAATATAAAGTATATTCACTTGTGTACCATCGCACGCGATGTCCGACTTGGCGCAAGCTCCGTGCCAAGAACGGAGAGAACGACGAGGAGCAATGCGGCAACGTCAGCGACCTAAAGCCAAGCCAATCAGCACAATTTGAGTGCGCGTCGCGACAAATGGCCCATTGTCAAGCTGCTCGTTGAAAGCAACGTGCTTATCGATCTCAGTACTGAAGCCTAAAAAGAGAAGATTTCTTGTACTCCACCCGTGCCCCTTCTGTTCTCTGGTACACACCACGGCGCCTGACACGAACAAGTAATTCGTTGAGACACAATTCAACGACAACTGTCCTCGCAATCGGTACGTAGTGCTCGGTTGTAGGCACGCAGCGGCGAAGCAGCCATTGATTTGCTCCTCCCATGTATACTAATGTGGTGGCAATCCCTGTCCAGTGGCTACTCCTGTTGCCGCTGTGCCATCAAAGTGGCACCATACACCTGGGTTCTCTAGCTGAGCCCCTTTGATAGCACCACGGCAAAGTGGATCCTACCGCAAGATGATGTTGATGTGAGTGCGAGTGGCTCGTGACGCGCCGTCCCAGCCTCACCGGAACGTATGTGATTCGAGCTGTGATTAGGTTGCTGCCCCAGCACAGCCACTCACGACACCATCACTCGGCGGGCGCTGCAACCAATCTCGCGACAGGTGGTGCAGTAAAGCGATCGAAATAAGCAATAATATGCATTTTAAACAGGATTAAAGCATACAATTCCGTGTGGACATGCATCAAGCTTGTTGGGAAGACGACGGCCGACCCCAAATATGCATTTCGGTCGCAGACACCAAAAGAGGTGCACGTCCACGGACAACCAAACGGGGTACCGTCATTTTATTCAGGTTTCTTACGCCCGTTCTTTCTCTTTGTATGGAGAAAAGAACGTGCGTAATTAATGCGTCAGGGTGCAGTCGAACCCGGTGCGCTGAACACCGAATTCTGGTCGTCTGTCCCTGCTGCCACCTCAGATTGCATTTTGCTACCTCCAAGAACAATGCCCATCCAGCGGACAAAATCATCGTTCTCGTTCCGCGCGCTTCTTGGCCTCCGCCGCAAGCAAAAGAGCACCAAACTGCGCGACGACAACGAAGCGTCCTCGGTGGAGACACCCGCGTCGACGCCCGCGTCGACCCCCCAAAGCAGCTTGGAAACGTCGTTTGACGAGCCGGTCGTGATGGAGAAGACACCCGTGCCCGTACAGATCCCGATCGCGTACTACTACAGCCAGACGACGTACGTTGGCGGAAAGAAGGTGCCGTTCACGCGCCTGCACGCCAAGCAGAACCGCCGTCGGCTCATCATTTACGAACGCATTCACGAAGACCGCGCGTTCCTTGTCAACTGGCGAGGCGACTGAAGCTTTGCTCAGCTCAATTATTTACGCCTAGTATCTATCTAACCTACAATTATTTACGACAACGACAATAAGACACTCATAACCTCTTGTCGGCATCCAGGAGGGCTTGGTGCTGGAGCATGGAGCTGGAAGGCAATGCTAGAGGTGTGCAATGGGGCCTTGGGCCTCGAGCCTTCTTTAAGGCCCACCAAGCTACCCATGTATGGAACTGAAACCCAGGTAATTTATCTCGCAGTTTGTATGTTCGATGCTAGCAAACATGGACCGGGGCCCTATGAAAATGACACGCTTGAAGTTGACGAGGCCGATCTTATCCCCATCATAAAAATACAAAACCATTGTTTAAATATACATACCACAATCTAGACATAAAACTCCATTTTCAAACGATTGCTGCGTGCTGGGACCATTCTTACAAATACCAAGATAATAAAATAAATCGAGCCATTTGCACGTTCGAGCCCCAGAAAGGTCGCATCAATCGTGTTGCCTCATCGTCATGCTCCGCGCGACCAAGTCGACGCCGCTGCTGCGGTCCTGCGCCCGCGCTCTCTCGAGCGCCGCCGAGACGTCGGTCGCCAACAAGATTGGGAAGAACGTCTTTGCCGAGTTCTCGGCGCTGGCAGCCAAGCACAACTCGCTCAACCTCGGCCAAGGCTTCCCGTCCTTTGGCACGCCAGCGTAGGCGCACGACGCATGTCATGGGCTCACCTTCATGCGCTGTAGCTTTCTCAAGGAGGCCGCCATCGAGGCCATTGCCGGCGAGCACAATCAGTACACGCGGCCGGGCGGCAACCCGGCCTTGTGAACGTGCTCGCCGACGTCTACTCGCCGCTGTATGGCCGCCAGC